GGATATATATATATATACACACATTTATATCCATACATATACACATAAATTCATCTAAAATATTTTATAGAAAACTTCCTAAATTAAAGTCATTTGTGATTAGGGATTTTTTATATCATAAAAAATAAAATCATAAAAATAATTTACCACTCAGCTTTTATGTACTGGTTTATTTCCTATCACTACCACAAAATATATGAAGCTGGGTAATTTTCTAAAGAGATTTATTTAGCTCACAGTTCTGGAGACTGAAAATCCAAACAGCATGGCATTGGCTCTGGAGGGGGCCCAGTGGTTGTATCACCCATGGCAAATGAACACGGTGGGACACAGGTAGGATGGGAAGATCACATCATAAGACAGAAAGCAGAAACACCGGGGAATGGCCAGACTTGCCTTTTTAAAACAATCTCCCAGGAGAACGAACTCAGAGGTCCCATAAGAACCAGTTTAATCCCTCTGAAAGTTTACTCTCAATGCCCAAAAGACCTCCCCCAAGGTCCTGCCTCTTGAAAATTCCACATCATCTTCTAGTACCACCACTCTGAACACCAAGCTTTCACACTTGAACTGTTGGAGGAGAAACCACATCCAAATTATAGCACTTCAATAAATTTTTCTTTCTTTTTTTTTTAGGTAAGCATCTCAGAAATGAAAGTAAAGGTAACTTAAAGATAAGGTTTCCAGTTGGCTAAATAAAATTCATGCTTAGAATAATAAGAAAAAAAAGTGAACTGAATTATTAACTAAACATAGCTGCAAATTAAAATATTGTTATTATTTTAAATAACTATTGTACTTGTAAAAAAGAAAAACAACAATATTGTGGAAATATAGTGTACTCCAAAAACTCTATGCTATTTCTCCTCTCAAATACAGTTTCCCTCAGTTAAGCCATTTGTCAACAAAACGTATAGCTCAAATTTTTTTTCAGAAAAATTGAGCATTGCCCCCTTATAATTAGAGAAATACAAAGCTTAGTTAGGAAAAACCCAAACACTGACAAATTAAGTTAAATAAATCCTACTTATGAACCTCAACAAAGTCACTGGCATGGTTTTTTTAAATCACCCTTAGTTTTTTTTTTTCTATTTAAATTCAACAAAAACAGAGAGAATAACAATTTCAACATGTGCTTATAATGTTCTTATTCGATGACATCACAAAACCAGTGATCTCAAGTTAATCCTTTTAAATTGTTTACACTCTCCACACCTATCCTGTTGAGGAAAGGTCCGGAGTTCTCTCAAGCATGTCCAGAGCTGAGTGTTTGGAATTTTAATGCCTCTTAGTTGATATGGTCCCTGGACTCAAAGCACCATTAGTTTTAAACTTTGCTAATGTGAGGAGCAGTAAAACAATATCCCTGGAGTTTCTGCTGATGTTCTTGAACAAATTTGTTTGTTTTTCGTTGACCACTATTCAAAACTAAAATGCACCCAATGTCCAGTTTGTTATCCTCATCTAAATATGAATGATTGTTTCCAGACAACACAGTGTTGATTAAAGATTGTTTTTGCACATGTAAGAAAACAGCTAGCTGTATAGACAGCCTGTATGTGGCCCAGAGGATTAATAAAGACCAATGAGCACTAACGAGGAAGCTAATTTGTTCCCTTCCTATTACTTTTGCTCAGGCATGGGGGCTGCCTAGCCTCAGCAGAAGTCCAGATTAGTGGGATTTAAGTGTTAACCACATATTGCAGCAAAGAGGCAAGAGATAGAAAGAAAGCAGAAAATCACTATGTATACAAATATAGCTTTTGCAAAAGAATGAAAATAAATAATTTATATACAGAGATTTCATATATATCTACTTAAGAATTCAGCATGATAAAACTTCCAATGCAGTAATGTACCATAACTTTTGGCCAGATAAAAAAATTTATATCTGCTTTTAAGCACTATAAAATTTACATTAAATCTTTTGTTTTCATCAATTAATAATCACTTAAAGGCTCTTGTAGTATGTATTTCTATCAATAAATAATTCTAAATGACCCGTGTTAATTTTTAAAACTCTTTGTTTTCTGTGAAACTAATCCATGAATTCTCTTATAACAAATGCTTAAGTTTTCTTTAGACTTGTCTTTAGCCACAGTTTTCTAGATCACAGATCTTATTTATTTATTTATTTATTTATTTATTTATTTATTTATTTATTTATTTCCTATGGGGACTGAACCCAGGGAAACTTTACCCCAGAGCTACATTCCCAGCTCGGTTTAAATTTCTTTTTTTTTTTTTTTTCTTTTTTCTTTGCTTTGCTTTGAGATGGAGTATTACTAAATTGCTTAGGGCCACATTAAGTTGCTGAAGCTGACTTTGAATTTGGTATCCTTCTTCTTCAGCCTCCTGGGTTGCTGGGTAGATCACAGAGTTTTAAATGGTGTTATAAGGATAGGTTTTCAGGGCTCTCTGTACTTGTTTTGGGTAAATGAGTATTTTCCTGAAAAATGTCCATCACATTCTCTGAATCTTCAAACATGTCCTTTAAGCAAATCAAAAATCAACATTGAGCATCCTTAAAGCAGTTAAATTTACTTAAACAATGAATTTATGTTCAAGGCAGTAAACTAGAATGATAGAGCTGATCTGAGAGCAGAAAAAAAAAGCTAATAGTACCAAAGATAATCTGTTTTTGCCAAGGAAAACCATCACTGCTAATTTTAATGCAGAACAAATCATATTCTACTCACTTATTGTTTTTTTCAAATATGTCAAATGACTTGGAAAGGAAAAAAGCAGAATTGGGGTGTGGGCAGTGACTTGAGTAGGGCCAGCCTCAATTCTAAAATATTGTGATATGCCCTTAGGCCAGTTCCTTGACCAGATAAACATCAGCTCCCTAATCTGAAACAGAATCTACCATAAGTCGGACACGGTATCTCATACATGATAAATGTCCTGTGTATATTAGCTCTATTCTAGTCTTATTTTCTTGCAATTGCCACAAAAGTGTAAAAACAAGATTGTATTCTCATTTTTATTTGTTTTCCTAGAAGTGACTTTTAGTTATTGGGAAAAAGAGTCCGGTGGCTAAATCAATCTTTCTCATACTCAAGAAAAGCACAATGATAAAGAAAAGGGTCAGTGCTTCGGGGACTCGCCAAACTTATTTGTATTTTGACCAAATTAGTTTTTGTAAATTGCTAAGAACAAATCAATTGAGCTTGCCTACATTTTATTACTATTTAACTGGGACAGAATTGTGCATACATTTAATAGACTATTGCTAAGTGAAGCAATTTAGAACAGTCCTATATAGTCTGACTTACCCTTTTAATTTTTGAATTGTTTCTAACTAGTATACAAAAGTTTATGAAAGCTGGTGCCCAAAAATACTGCAAGGAAAACTGCTGTTGTTATTTTAATCTTATTTCTAATATGTATGCCCTATTGTTTTTATTTCTTTGAAGACATATATCAGAATAAAGTTATATATATATATATAATACACATATTATATATATAATATATATGTAATCTCCTATCTTATAAACCTATATGCTAATATATATAAACATCTCTCTCTCTGTATAAATCTCCATATATATGTGTGTATGTGTGTAGAGAGAGAGAAAAAGATACTTACAATGAGAATTGGCTTACATAGGCTAAGAAGTCCCATGATCTGCCTTTTGTAAGCTGGTGAGCCAAGAAAGCTAGTGATATAATTCATTCCAAATGGATCCCAATGCCTGAGAACCAGGAGCTGTAATTTCCAAAGACAGTACAAGAAGAATGTACCAAGTCTAAAAGCGAAAGACTGAATTAACTCTTCATCCATCATTTTTATTTTTAATTTGGCCCTCAATGGACTGGATAGTGCCCACTCATTTGGTCAGAGTAGATCTTCTTTTCAGTCTACTGATTCAAATGGAAACACCATCACAAATACACCCAGAAATAAAATATTACCAGCTATCTCTGGGCATCCCTCAGCCCAGTGAAATTGACCCATAAATTAACCATCATATAATCTGTTTTGTTCTAGTCTCTTGCCTCTGAAATGGCCTAGATATTTCCACATGCCCCCAGATAAATGCAAATTTAAAATACCATCATTTATTAAGATTTGTCCTATTCATTACTGACTTTAAAATATGATGTGATTCAATTGATTCACCCTAAGAATATTTCTTAATGGCAAGCCAACATCCAATAATAGTTTGCCAGCCTGATTTCCAGTCTTGGCATAAGAAGGATTTACTTGACTTCAACTGTCATGAAAGCATCTCATGTTTTATTATCACAGTTCTTTTCATTTTACTGAGATACACAAGAGGTTAATCATGAGATAGAAATGGCCAAATTTCAGGAAAAAGTCACTAGCTTATAATATGACATATACTGTCTTTCTACAGATGCCAGGATGCTTTCAACTACTCTTGCCTCTTTGGACATAGGGTATATTTGTTTACTGAAGCTATATTGTTTGTTATGGTCATGAAGTTGTGTGAATTAGAACAACTGTTATCACATAAGGTATTTGGATTTTCCTTCATCACCTCTCCAATGTGACTGGATGTCAATACCATCCATGTTATGTTTTCTTCATTTTATATTTAGCCCTCACCAAAGAGTATTAATATATTACTTCCCCAAGTATCTTTTCTATCATTTGCTTGACAATTTCCCACAGATAAAATATTTTCACATATTTTGTCTCACATGAAAACCCTAGCAAGCAGGCAAGCCTGGTGTTGTTGTATAAATTTAACATAACACAAATATAATATTAGCTGTTTTCATTTATAGAAAAACTTCCTGATACCAGAAACCTATAGGCACTTTATATCTTATTAAGTCTCATAGGCATATGTTTTATAGTTGAGGACAAAGAGTCTAAGCAATATTTTTCAAGACCAAACAATAAAATTGGAGCAAAACAAGATTTTTTTAAGAGAGAGAGAGAATTTTTAATATTTATTTTTTTTTAGTTTTTGGTGTACATAACATCTTTATTTTTATTTTATGTGGTGCTGAGGATCGAACCCAGCACCCTGCACATGCCTGGTGAGCGCGTTACCCCTTGAGCCACATCCCCAGCCCCAAACAAGATTTTTTAGAGCAATACATGTGTTAATATGCACACATAAGCAATGTGCATGTTTCATATATGTGTGCACATGTGCCTGTGCATATATGTGCATGTATATATGTGGGTGTACACATGTGTATATATTTATTTTTTCATATATTTATTTATTTACATACACATACACTCTGGGGTTCATGTAAAATATGGACTAATTTCAAGGACTTGTTAAAAGAATTCCTAGTACCTTTTCCAGTTTATTGGAACTAGAAAGCAGTTAACTTTGACTTCTAATAAGATACATTGTTAGGTGTAATTCAGAACAAGTCAAGGCAAGACATTTCCTTCCAGGTGGTCACCAGTCAAAAGAAGGTTGTATAGTAGAAGGAATTTAAAAGGAGCATGTTGTGTCTTTTTAATTGGAGACGGTGTCATTCCTATTAATCTAAGGAAATGATTCAACCTCAGAACCTTGATTTCTTCACATAAAGTGACAGACAGCGGGAGCTCAATAATAAAATTGCTAAATTTACAAAAATGGCTAGAACTCTTTCAGAGTTTATTGAGGCATGTCTAGTTTGTCCTTGTCTTTTCCTATTGGATGCTAGCAGGCAGCATGGCCAACAATGAAGCAGGACACCACAGAATAGGCAGAGCCATGAAGAATGTGAGCAGATCTCATCTGATTGGGACTCACATACAGCAACCCTCCATTCCTTTGAGATTCAGAATATATCCACAATGTCCCATAAGATAAGAGTGGATCATGCTGATGTGCCTTTTATATCTGTAAAAAGAAGTAAAGAGGTTACACTGACACAGTGTTCAATGGCAATCATAGTGAAAGCTTCTCTCTACCTCTATGTGGATTCAGGTAAAAGAATCGACATCTCTCAGAGATCTGCTCCCAGTGTAATAAGATGTGAAATTTATTAGAAATCCAGGATGATTCTCATGGGCTAAATGTTGAGACATTTTCAACAGCACATTTGCACAAAAATAGTTTGAAAGTTAGAAAAAATGGATCAAGTTGTCTTATTACATTAAGCATTCTTTATCAGTATATTCATTATAGTATTGGTAATATTTGCTATTTTGTTATTATATTCCATGTTCTCCATTTAGATTATATAGCATTAGAAATTCAAAGAAGAAAAAGTAACAACTTTTTGGGTACCCACAAGTAGTATTTTAAAACATAACAAGTTATTTCCTCTCACTGTTACAAAATTTCCTGCAACATTTTAATGGCATTCTAATGCATTAGATTTCCACAATTCCAAGGGTCAATGAATTTCACATTAAATAACTGTGATGCAGAGCACTTTAAAAACTTTTTGATAACTTGTCATTTGTTGTCATTGAAACCAGTCTCTACATGAAACTTGTATTGTCTAAGACAAATGGTGTAATTTAGATGCATTTGGTTGTGTTATTTTTGTAAAGAATTTTAATTCTTTTATTCTTGGAAACAGTCAACATTTCTTGTCAGTTCTGCATAAACCCTGGATGATAGGGTTTTGTGAAAATCCACTCATGTTCAAGACAAGCTGCCTTTCAAGTGGTTCAAATAAATATTAAATTTATTCCAACAAGTGGCTTTAGTATGTTTCTAAAAGAATTTGATTGTACTGAGTAATAATTTTTGTCTTCCTGGAGGAATTAAGATAAAATAAATATATACTCATTTAATTGCCAATAAAAATTATTACCTACATTCTGAATCATTGTCACCCTTGAATACTCACGTTAACAACTATAATAATGCTGAAAACTCATTGCAAAAGAATTTTCAGATTTCCATGGCATTAACAATCTTTTAGCTAATAAATAGACTTACAGGTAGGTAAGTAGTAAAGTTTCTGTGGTTTTCTTCACCTAAGTGGTTGGCCCTACTGACCTGTTAAAATGCAGAAGTTTAATCCCATTACCTCTTTCAACATAATGGCCTTTCATCAAGTACTAGTTAAAGTATAAGTACATTGCCTTAGAAACTAAATTAATCTTTAGTACATTATCCAATAACTATAGTTTGAAAGGCATGCATTAAGGTTATACATAAGAACTTGCCCTGATGAAGTTTAACATCCAAGGAAAAACAGCGTCAGAGGGTAACCAGTCAAGCAGGTGGAGCTTGAATGTGAGGGAAACCCAGACTTAGCAACAGTCCTAGAACACCAAGTGCTCAGAATGTAAGCTAGTAATAGATTCCAGGACATGGAGGGAGGAGCAATGTCAATGCAGGGGTGAAGGTGAAGGAGATGAACAGCAATCAGCAACAAAATTAGCCAATGAAATATTTACTAAGTGCTTACCAATATAGCACAACTGGTCTTGGTATCTATAAAAATTGGACCTATATGTGACTGTGTCCACAAATAGATTGGTTTATGACATAGCCTTGGACTAGCTTCATACAGGTGACTTAAGGTTGTAATGAGTTTCCTGTGATACATTCAATAGTAAGACACTTTGGATAAAATCCAACACAGATTTGCCCTTGCTGAATCATACTTTCTCATTTGTTAGAGAGGATCCAGTGTTGAAAATTCAATGCTCAGTTGCTCAAAAATCAAAGATAAGCATTAACAAATCAAGAAGTTACTAAGCTTGAACATGAATTTTAATAGTTGAATTTTTCTTACATTAATGCAAATTTTGCATAATTTTCCTGAAATATTATTTTATATTTTGTTTTCAGTTCTCTGATCCAAAAAAACTCTAATGCTCAAAAATTGCTATGTATTTATATTACATTTGTTTTTAAAAGCATAATTCACCATTGTAAGGATTTATTAAAGAGATATTTTCAGTTCCATCAAAAGTAACTTGTTTGCTTTTATGTTACTAATATCCTAGGAGACATGTTATTCTTTGCTCTTACCATTAAGGAACTAAGAAACAAATCTTCTTCCTATCTGTCCTTATAAATGACTATATGGCATGCATCTTTGTGCATTTATCTTATACATAAGTTTGATCCTTATCCACATTTTTTCTTTTAGTTGGATCATTTCCTCTTATTTTTATCCTGATAAATATATATATGTGTGTGTATATATATATACATATATATATAAATTTCAACATAACCAATTTATTCTTATATATGTATATATATTCTGATATATATGTATATATGTTATACACATACATATATAAATTTATACACATAGTGTACATAATTGTTGACATTTAAATAAGAATATTTACTGTATTATGGTTCACATTCAAGATTATTGGTCTGTAAATTTGCTAGTAACTACATGTTTAGCTTTTGAAGGACAAAATAGTATATACGTACATACATACACACTATATAGATCAATAGATAGATGACAGGTAGATTTGTAATCACCTCACTTTATCACAATTGATACAAAATGATCACTAGATGTAATAGTCATGCAGAAGTGCTTCTTATATCTAATATCAATCCTGTGAATTTTTATTAAGCAGGTTGTACACAGACCAAACAAGAATGCTAAAGGAGCTTTCTCTTTTCAAACTGGAGGGGGAAGGTGGAATTTTCTTACCATTATTTTTTATGGAAAACAAAGCTACTTTTACTCTTTACTTATATCTTAACACATTCATATTTGTTAATATTTGACAAATGAAATAAAAACTGGCATCATATAGCAAGATTCCCGCTAAGGAAGGAAGCATCCAAACATAAAAGACATTTTATTTATTATAATTTTTATCTTCTTAGCTTAACCTGAAGACAATATCTAAAATAATAAATGTGTTTTTAGAAGGAAAGTAACTCTGAACATGATTATTACATGCACCTTCAGGACTATAATATGAAGCCTTAATCTGTGCCTATGACTTTGTAAGTACAATAAAACAAAAAGTATTTTTTAAATTCCTTTTTGATTGTGTCAGTGCTCAATTTTATTTCTATCCTTGCTTACACAACTTTCATATATGAGCAGAAACTAGACTACTTCTTTGAGTAATCATAGGAATAATAGCATAAATAAGTCTTTACAGGGAAACCAACAAAGGATTTTGCTAATGTTCATAAAAATGAGAGCAAAAGGAAGAGAAGAAGAGTGGGAGACAGAAAAGAGTGAGAGAAGAAAATGAAAATGTTAACATCCACAAAGTCCTGAAGAAAGCAATTCCAAGGCCTGTGGTGAGGGGTTACCCATCAAAGGATTCTTCAACAGGGAGGAGAGAGCACCCTAAGAATTTTGATGAGTAAAAATTTCCTACCTCATTACATTAGTAACCTGATTTTCTCCTTCAGTGCTTGTAGGAGCTTTAAATTGTTCTTTTAATTCGTAAGCTTTGTCAAGTGTGTCATAGGAGAAATTTCTTTACAATTCTTTTGCCTTAAAGGTACTAAAAGCTCTCAATCTCTTCTCTCAGATCCACAAATTTATCTTCCAATATGGCTGTACTTTTTCTCTCTTCTAATTGTTAAATTTTCCTCTTTAGAGACACTTAACATTCTCAGGCTCATCTCTTGGATCTTTATAATCATGTGCATCTGCTTGTGTGTGTGTATGTGTGTGTGTGTGTGTGTACACATGCTTACGAAAGCATACATTTTCTTTTTCTCTCTTTTTTCCCTCCATTCAGACAGAAACTTTTTTGTTTCTACTGCAATCCTGAATTTAGTCTTTTACAGTTCAAATTCTAATTTCTACTGCTTGCCAACTTGACTTTAATTATGCAATTGCTCTTTGGTTTTCTTGCAACTCTTTTGAAAGATATTTTATCCAATTGACCTTTTATTTTAAACTCTTCAAGTGACTTTCTGTATTTTTGAATGAAGGAGCATTGCCCCCTCGGTCTTCCTAAAAGCATGAAAACAATGTGTTCTCTTCTGTCCAGGACAGTGGCCACAATACACGCATGGCTCTAAGGCCCTTGAAATGTGGATGGTGGGATTGAAGAAATGAATTTTTTAATTTTCCTCAATTTTAGTTCATTTTAATTTAAATAATTACATGTAGACTGAACAAATGTCAAACATATGCTTTCTCGATTACTAATGATGTTGTAAAAAATACCTCTCTTAGGACTCTGTTAGTGATTTGTAGAATTATGCTCTTATGTTGCTCTTTCTAGATTATATTCTCAGCCACAGCTGAATTTTAGTGGAGCTTCTACATTGGATATTTCTATTTAATCATTCTGGAATACAAATAAGTTTTCTAGATTTAGCTTGCTAAGAGAGAAGTATATAATTTTTGTTTGTTTTTGCTTTGTTCTGTCCTTATAAAAGTTGGAATCTTATCAGGCTAACTGTAATTGAAGGTAAAACTGAGTATAATGGGACAGTACTTAATCCAGTTTCAATTGCCCCAATTCAGTCTGCAACTTGCTAGGAACCATTTATGCATAAGAATCTTAATCATTATCATGAATACTTATCATTGATACTCAAACCTATGAAGTGCATGAAGATTATAAATTCTAATATATGGAGATTCTTCAAGTTTCTCCTCTTCTCCATAATAACTAGTAGTTGTGTATTCAGCAGTATTTTGGGATCATGCCTCCTAGGATACGGTGTATCATTTTTGGTTCATCTCTCCATTTCCACATCCCAACCACCTACTTTTCTATATTCTGGGATTCAGAACCTAATAGCTACTGAGTCATTCGGACATAATCCTAGTATTTTTTTCTTGTCTTCTAACATGGTAAGTTTTCCAAAGTTCATATGGATGATTCCTGACTCAGTTTGGAATCACTAATTCTCTAAAGAGCCCTGATTTCTTTTAGTGAAAGTTGGTGATTGAGGTGTTCTTAGATATATTCACTCAT